CAAAAATTATATAGCCCATGACTGTGCTCTACGACTATCATAAGGTACAAAATGGTCAGTATACACATATAGATGTATATGGCTTATGTTATGTGGATGGGACAAGGAGGGTGTCAATATATTTGTAGAATATTAAAATGTACAATAGAAAACAGACAAAATGAATCTATAGTAACAGAAATCAGAAAGTAGGTCTTTTGGGAGACTGGAAAGGAGCATGAGGGAACTTTCTGGAATGAGAATGTTTTATAGCTTGTTTGGGGTGATGTTTACAAGTTGTAAGTCATCAAAACCATCCAACTGAACACTAAAGATCTGTATACTTTATGTATACTGTAAACTATGTCACTAAAAAAGTAAAAATATCTCTTCTCCCCCCATGTAGATCCATGTTTGTGTTCAGAGACATAAATATGTAGGTGCTGTGTGTAGATGCGTGTATGTAGCCCCCACCTGTATGTCCAAGGCTTCCTGTCTGAGCTGCAGGAAACCACGTGGACTTGGGCACACCGTAGGTACACAGTGCAGAACTTCAACTAGGTCTCTACAGCTGCCAGCCTCTCTTATTACAGCACCCTTGGGTCCCCATGGAGCAAACTGTCTCATTTTCTAGTTCTTGCCTGGGAAGCTAAGTCCACTGGGTAGGAACTGCTTTCCCCATTATCTTGGGTGCCCTTCTGTGCTTTCTCCAAAGACAGCGGGGTAAGCATCCTCTGATTTCATGCTCTCTTACCTAATCTCTCTCTCTGTCTCTCCTTTCAGCAATCTTAGAGTTCTCCTTCTTTCATTAACGTCTTTCTGATTTCCAACATTCAAGTTTCAGTTTCTTTATACAATTAATGAAATCAGAAAGAAAACTCTTAGAGTTTAGCCTATGTCTTCTGCAGCTTTTACAGGCATAAAGGCTGCTGCTGCTGGGCCCCAGCCTGGAGAAGCCTGAGGCTGGATAGCTGATAGCAAAGCGAGGAGAGGCAACTGCATTTGAAAAGGCTTGCATCCCCAGAATTGTTGGAGCAACAATGCAAGTGTTTCCTATAGACCAGCTATAGGCCAAGCAGGAGAGAGGGTCAAACAGAATGTATCTTAAAAGGAACTTTGCCAAGAGGGCTACCTGGAGGGATAGTGGGCCAATATCACTGATACTGTTAGGGGGAAGTGATGTCCTGAGTTAATCCCATACAGGATTAACTTTGTGGACTCCACCCCCACTCCAGACTAAAGCGGTTGCTCTACAACAATACCAGGGAATTCCAGAAAACAGTTGCTAAGGAGGCAACTAAAAGTAGTAAGACTGAGAGGTCGCTACCGAAGTCAAGGGAACTGCAGATGAAAGAGACCCACAAAAGCAACACATAGAGGGAAGATTCAATTACAAACTCCCTTCAGAGAATATTAACACCAGATGACTAAGGAACCTTTCCTGCTCCTATTTCTCCTCTTACAACCCACCTCTATGCAGCAGTCTACATAGGGGTTGGGGGTGGGAGCAAGATGGATATACAGAGAAAGCAACCACGCTCTTCTCCAAAGGTGAGAGCCTAAAGCAAGCTGAGAAGGGTAAGGCAGAAGCTTTAAGTTCAAAGTTTGACTATTAATGTGAACTGCACATTTAGGCTACTGCAATGTCTCTTCTGCTGGAGACTACATGTGATCCAAGGGCAAGGAAAGATTTAAAGAAAGAGTGGGGATGAACACAAAGCTGTTTTATGACTGCTCTGCTTCTTGACTGTGATTCTGCAAGTTCAGTGTGAGACAGGGCAAGCTAGGGTTATTAGGCAGTTTTAGGGACAGTGCAGGAGGGGACCTCTGAAGAATTTAGGGAGGCTTCAGAGATAAGGACAACCAAAGAAATATAACCAATTCCATTAGGAAAAACAAACATGCCAGGACCAAGGACAACATTGTTAATGCTGGTCCTGTTAGGGGAAAAAGGCTGTCCCAAAGCTAATTCCATACAGGCTTTGTGGACTCCACCCCCACCCCAGTGTTAGGGGGAAAAGGCTGCCCCAAAGCAAATTCCATACAGGCTTTGTGGACTCCACCCCCACCCCAGGTCAAAGCCAAACACACTGGGAACTCCAAATCCCATCACCACTAAAGGGAAGGTGGCTGGGACCTGAGGGTGGGGTTAAGCAGCCAGGTGGATACAAAAGGCAGACATGTGGGCTTTGGGGCTCTCTCCATTTTGGGGCCCTCGGCCAGCTCGCGGCGTCCGTCTAGCTCTGAGAGTGACTTTGGGGTTTCCAGGTCGTCGGATCGGGTAGGACGCATTAAAGACTTTATTTCCCTATTTTCTCCCTGAGTTGTACATTTTCCTTATTTCTTTTTCTCTTGTAAATAAACCTTTTATTAACCCTTTTGCGTGTGTCTGTAGTAGAGTATTCATAAGACCCTTTAAAGCGCGCGGGTGAGGACCCACAGCCAGGAACCCGTTTAATATCGGGGTTGCTCTATAACAGTCCTGGTTTCCTTCAGGTGGTAAAGGGAGGCGGAGATTGGAGAAATGGAGAGTGGTTTAATTTATGGACACATTAGAAGGGCAGCTGTTTAACTTCAATGCAGGGATGTCCATCCAGAGGACTGGGCCAAAATTTAAAGATGCAACAAATGGGGAAAGACAAAGCTGTTAGATAAGGAATGTGAAGATCCCGCACTCAGTAGCAAATTAAGTGAGACAGCCGAGAACTAACCAATCACAAAGAGACTGGTGGAGCTTTAGAATAATGAGGGAAAAAAGGTATATATTCCCTGAAACACAATTCCACTTTGGCTTCCTTGCCCCTCCCAGGCCTGGTTCCCTGGCCTGGGAGTCCCACTTTATTTCTGCTCTTTTCCTCCTCAATAAACTTTTTCTTTCTATAAACAAACTGCCTCTTCTCGCTTGCTTGCCTGAGCGTCTGCGAAGTTCCTGCTGCGGCTTCGTGAGACACCAACCCGTGGGGGGTCTAGCGGCTGGGGCTCAGCGCTGCCCTGCAGCCTGGAATCCGTTCCTGGCTGGGAGACTAGGCCTGACAATTCCGGTATCAAGTGTAAGTTATGCAAGCAAAGGAGGGAGCACAGGCAACAATTGACACAGCAGCTAATGAGACTGTTGTGAACAATCTTGGGATTTAAAGGGAAGCAGCTAAGGGCCAAACGTGCTCTTCTTCAGCCAAACTGTTGGGGATGGCCTGAGTAGAGGACTTGAGAGGTAGCGAGTTCCCTGTATTGGAGAGGCTTACAGGGGTTCACTGACTTGACAGGGATGTGGATGGGGCTGAGTCCCAGATGTGTGAGTGAACTTGAGAATCTGTGGTTTTAACTTCTTGTTTCTCTCTGTGGCCTCAAGGCTTCCCTTTATGGGGATATTTCAGCTCTGGCCTCTCTGGATTTCAATCCCACATTCCTCTTGAATAACTCCCCAACCATCCAATTAAATTCCCATGCAGGTGATTTACCATCACCTCCAATTCAGCCCATCTAAAATGGAGCTCTTTAGTTTGTTTCTTCAACCAGCTCTCCGACCACACAACCCCAAATTCTGTTTCTGTAGATGTATACTTCACTCAACTTGACTTCCCATAGCCCTCCCTTTCATCCATTTCTTAAACCAAGATGCACACAAACTCAATTCTGCTCTTGAAACAGCTTCCTCATTAGCCCCACCCTTTCCATTTTTTATGATCATGATCATAACCCATCTCTTTATCATCTCACAAACTAGTCTTCTAAGCAATCTCTCTGTCACCACATTTTTCCCTTAACAGGTCAGGGTCAGTCTAATCCTCCTCCAACACAGTTCTGGTGGTGTCATAAAAACCTCTGACAAACACTTGCTTCCCAAGAAGTAAAAGTCAAACTTCTCAGCCAACACAAATAGGCCCTGTACAATATGGCTTTTCTAACACTTTTCTAATACGGTTTTTTCAGCAGTATCTAAAGCCATTCAACTGTCCCAAAATTCAGAGACCCACTCTCAGGCTGGCCCTGTGCTAGACTAATAGGCGCACAGATGAAAGACATACCTGAATGCAGGATGTTGTCAGTTCTAATGGTTGAGATAAGAGGGTAAATATTTAACCAGAGAATACAATCAATGATAAGATAAAAAGGACACTGCTTGTGCTCATACCCTCCATGCCAACAAATATTTACTCACTCTTCCTGAATAAAGGCCTAGGCTTTCCAATCTTTAGATTTTTCTTGGGACTGTTTTCTTCTTTCCCACCTAAACACTTTGTGTCCCTTCTTTGAAAACGCCAATGCCTAGGCGAGGGAACTCTCCCTTGGGAGAGTTGGGGTTGAATGGTGTCACTAAAGAACACCTACTCTTTCTGCATTTCTGGGTTTAGATGCTTCATCCACTGGAGAGCCTTTTTCACATGGTCCCCAGAACCACACCCCATCCTGGCTTAGAGTCACCTCCTCTGGGTTCCCACAGCACCTCACAGTTCTCCTAGTTTTACCCAGATCATGCTACTTGCCAGATCATTACTTGTCACCCCCACCAGACTCTGACTGAACTCTTTGAAGGCAGAAAATGCGGTTATTTTGTTCACTAAATAGGCAGCGCCAAGACAGGTCTGGTAGCTGAATAAACAATGGGAAGGCAGTCGTCGGTGCACTTTGTATTGACATGTTCTCTAGTGTTCCTGGTATTTTCACTCCTGCTTCCCTAGCCACTGTTCCTGGCAGGTTCCGTCAGTATTCTCAGTAGTGGGGTCTCTAAAACCCTGTGAACTACAGGGGAAGGGCCTGAGCACCGTGATGGACAATGCTACGGACGGGTGGACACGGAGAGAGTGACTGATTAGAGAGGCCCCCATCCTCTCACCCCACCCCCGGACTCTCAACCTCCTCTCTCCCCATCTCCTTTCATGAACTCAGAGGCCCTTCCCGCCTCCGGGAGGGGCAGGAGTGGGTCTGGCTGAGGTCGGGGGCTCAGGACGCGACCATGGTCAGCCGGCCTGGGGCGCTACCTCAGCGGGTCTGCTGGTCAGAGGCTCTGTCTGAGGCCCCACCTGGAAAAATGGCTCCTCTACGGCTCTTCCAGCCTAAAGCCCGTCCTCTTCCACCTCTCGGGTGCGGGCTCTCCCTCCCAACTCGCCCGCGTCTCCCACGAGGGAAGCACCGCACACGAAGCCCGGCAGAACCCTCCACAGACTGCGCCGACGCGGCGCGGGAGGCGTCCCCGGGCCCGCCCAGCCAACAGCCCGGAAGTGACGACGAGCGCGCGCCCGGCGGGAGGGGGCCGGAAGTGGGCCACTCTCGCGAGGCCGGGCGGAGCGGCGGCCGGAGGGCCTGCGCTGTGTGGAGGTCGTTGGAGTCATTTGCCAGCTGCCAGCCCCTTCGCCGGCCGTTCGGTGCCCCGCCCGCTCCAGCCATGCTCTCCGCCCTCGCCCGGCCTGCTGGCGCTGCTCTCCGCCGCAGCTTCAGCACTTCCGCCCAGGTAGGCCCGACGAGGGGCTGCCCCTTGGCAGAGGAGTCCCCCGCCCCCGGTCCGGGCCACGTGCGATCCCGGCTCCGGAAGAACCCGGGCCCCCCGGCCATCCCGGCCCGCAGGCCTCCTGCTGCTGCCCGCGGCTCTGGGCCGGGCCTGATCCCGGACAGGAAAGGCTGGGGAGAATGCCCGGCGTTGAGGGGATGTCTAGTTCCAGGACTGGTGCACCGCGCAGACACCCCCTCCCCCCACCCCGTAGGGCCCGCTCGCCTGCAAGATTGAGAACCCAGGGTCTGGTGCCGGAAATTTTACGTTTTTATGCAACTTTCCGTAGTTATTTGACTAACCTAGTTGTTGCAGCATCCGTACAAATAATGTGTAATTATTAGCTCCATAGTACAGACAAACCGACGTGCCGAGGAAAGGAAGTGGTCCAAGGTTACACAGTTATTTGGCAGAGGATTAGAAGTATTCTGATCATGGTCAGCGGCTTTTGGGTCACCACGCCTTCCTCTAACAACCTGAACACTGCTCCCTTCGAGGGACTTTTATGGTCGATCCTTCCTGTTGTGGGTGGGCCTTCCCCCAGGTGGCTTGACTGGGGGGAGACTTGGCCTCCAGCTACTTAAGCCTAGCTTTTTTTTTTTTTTAAAGATTTATTTATTTATTTATTTATTTATTTATTATTTATTTATACAAGCACTGGGTACAGTCAGAAGCATGGGAGGGTGAGAGAATTCACCAGAGCCAGAGTGGGGAGCAGAACAGGCAGAGTGACAAAATACACTGCTGAGGGGAGAGGCGGGCGGCAGGAGAGGTCTGCGCACCATGTGGGACCCTCGCCGGTGGCCGGGGATCGAACCAGCGCTGCAGAGGCTGTGGGCAGATTTGCAACCCAGCGCTCAACCACTGCACCACCGGGGAGGCCCCAAGCCTAGCTATTTTTAGCCATCTTCTCAGACGGTGGTTCTCAAACTCTGATGTGTGTCAGAATCATCTGAAAGCTAATAAATAAGAGGCCCAGACTCATTGAAGGACCTGGGCCTCTATTTTTACCAAGTACCTCAAGTGATTCTAATAGAAGCAAAATTTGAGAACCCAGGAGATACCCACATTGCCTCTTAAATACCACACCCAAAAGGGAGGTGATTATTGAAAGAGATTCCAGGTTTCTTATCATTTAGATAACTGCCTTTGAGTTTCCTGTGCGTTAAGATCATTTGAAAAATAAATATACAGCTAAGTACATTGAGTGTCCTTGCTCGCGAGGAACAGTGCTGGGCAGTGCCTGGAGTTGAGTAAGAAATTGCACTTGAGGTGGGCCAGAAAGGAGGAAACATAGGACAAGTGAAGGTGATAAAGATTGATGCTGGAGAGTAAGGGAAGAGAACTGATTGAAGACAAGACAACAGGATTTGCTGACCTGTGTTTTAATGGGGGTTATGAGCGAGAAAGATGAATATGGAGACTTTGGAGTTGAGTTTGCTGGCAAGGAAAAGATAACTAGAAGAGATCAGGTTTGGCAGGGGAAGGCTGTCAGCTCAGTTTGGTATGTGTTGAGTTTAAAATGCCTATTGGAGAGATGGGTTTGAGGAGAAAGTTCTGTATATATTCATTTTCAAAACAGTTGCAGTGTACTATTGACAGCTGCTCTTCACCTTGGAAATGCTCAGCTTTGGAGATAGCTCTAAGATCAGGAGCTAACATTTGAAATACTATAGGTTCCACACTTAAAGGCATGTTTGGTAAATATTAACTAAGTTGATGGGATTTTATACAAACAGTATCATGTCAATGCACTGAGCATCAGAATGAGCAAGTATCATCTTAAGTATCATGATTCACTTAAGGACCCTAGTGAAGGTACCAGGTCAGTCTCTTTCTTGCTAGATTCTTTTTCTTGCTAGAGATTAAATAAATAAATAAATAAGTAAATAAGTAAATAAATAAATTTTGGCATTAATGAGAAGTTAACATTTTCATCCTGCATCCCAATGGGATTGTCTTGTGCCTCCCCCATTGCAACCAGAGCCCTGTCCACACAAAAACTTGCACATGAATTTTTAATAGCACTCTCACTGTAGCCAAAATAAAATGTCCATCAGCTGATGGTTGAGTGAACAAAAGTCCTCTGTTTATACAATGGACTATTGTTCAGCCATGAAAAGTAACAATGTAGATACATACTACAACATGGATGGATTTTGCTAAGTGAAACTGTTCTAAGTGAAAGAAGTCAACTTGAAAGGCCACATTTTGTATCCTTCCGTGTATATGTTACATATCCAGGATAGGTCAAAGAGATGGGAAATAGGTTAGAAGTTGCCACTGACTATAGGGGAAAGGGGAGTGGCTTCTAGTGCACGTTGGGTTTCTTTGTGGAGTGATGGTTGAACAGCTCCTGGAATATCCTAAAAACCATTGGAGTATACATTTTATACATTTTAAATGAGTGAATTGCTTGGTCTGGGAAATACATTTCAATAAAGTGTAAAAATTGGATGGGATTAAGTGGTGGCAGTTGTTAAATATATTTATCTCTGAAGTGGCTGTTGAAACTCAAGTCTTTTAACATTAATCCAGAAAGTTGGTCAGTAAACTGATATAAACTCTTCCAGCTCTGGCCTTCTAGCTGTCAGTGAGGCAGTCTAGTGGATTTGGAACTCCCTTCCCTCCCTCTCCCCCTCCCCCAACACCAGTGACTTCACTAAACTATCACTTCTTCAACTTCCCAGCCAACATGACAGGACCAAGTGCTACGTGTCCTGCTTTGCTTGGTGATGAGCTGGAGTGATTCTCAAACTGACCAGTGTCAGAATCACCTGGGATACTTAGTAAACATATTACGGCCTAAGTCCCATCCTACTTAAAGGAGTCTGGTCCTCTGTGGTCTATTAGCTCAGCAGTTAACTGATACACACTAGTGGGTAGAGGTGCCTGAGACTGCAGGTCTGGCCTACTTGATAAAAGGAGCCTTTTCAAAATGCACATCCTCCTAATCTTGCCTAGGTCTCTAGCAAAGGTTGTGCTGCCCTACCCTCTTAGAATCTTCCCTGACTCCCCTTTCCCCACTGCTTTCCTGCACATAGTGCTTCTGTTACAGCCCTTTTCTCTCAGCTGCACATACAACTTGTTACTTGTCCCCTCCAGAGCTGGCAGAGGTCATCTTTTCTGCAACCCCAAATACAATGAAACCCCAAATACAATGACTGAACTGTCGGTAGGTATTCAGTAAATGTTTGTTGTTCTTTAAATTGCAGATTAAAGGTAAGGTTGATGTTGCCATCCCAGTTGTCTGAATAAGCTAATTATCTTGGAGTATGACCCTAACTATGCTGCTACCTATAGCCATCAGTTTCCTGTCTTCCTGATGCAGGCCTCTAGACTTGAAGAAGTAAACTGGACTGGTAGAAGTACAGCAGTTGTGTCATCCTTTGATACCACTGCAATAAAGAGGTCCAGTGCAATATTTTGCAGGCTGCCGCATGAGTCCTTTGAATGCTGAGTCCATCTTTCTCTGTACCTGTCTTAGAACAATGCAAAAGTAGCAGTGCTTGGAGCTTCAGGAGGAATTGGGCAGCCTCTTTCACTCCTGCTGAAGAACAGCCCCTTGGTGAGCCGCCTGACCCTCTACGATATTGCTCACACACCCGGAGTGGCCGCAGATCTGAGCCACATCGAGACTAGAGCGAATGTGAAAGGTACTGGGCAAGCTGACCCTGAGAACTTAATATCTCTTCTCCTTAGTAGACTAGGATCTAAGTTTATAGTAAGGATCTTAGGTGAAGCTCGGTAGTCAGAGATAAGGGGTTTCTGTGTTCATCTCAGAATTACAATTTACAAATGATTACCTTTTTGGACTTGGGTCAATAAAAATTTAAATAGCAGTGTCACAGAAAACAAAGGTACTCTAACCTTCACAGTTTTATTGTTTCTAGTTGAAAGGTAATATGAGGGTGGGGAAGTGGGAACTCTTGGAAACCTCCTATGGGACCCTTACAGGGGGCTCTTAACAGATGTCCCCTGGTGTGCTGCCCCCCTTACTTCCCTATGCTGGGGTGACCTTTGCCAGCTTCTCCAAAACACAGCCACCTTAGGGAAATCTGCCCTTTCTAATAGTAAATGGAATTATTTCACCCGAGAATAGTTCATAATCACATATAATTTTATATCCTCATTTTGCCTTCACATTATAGCAGCGTTTCTCATGCCACCAAATTTTTGGTAAAGATTTCTTTAAAGGGGCCTCCCTTGGTGGCGCAGCAGTTGAGCGCTGGGCTGCAAGGCAGCCCGCAGCCTCTGCAGCGCCGGTTCAATCCCCAGCTGCCGATGAGGGTCCCACATGGCTCACATACCTCTCCTGCTGCGCCCACTGCTCCCCTCAGCAGTGTATTTCATCAGTCTGCCTGTTCTGTTCCCCACTCTGGCTCTGGTGAGTCCTCTCACCCTCCCGCGCTTCTGAATGTACCCAGTGCTTGTATAAATAAATAAATAAATCTTTAAAAAGATTTCTTTAAAGCTATACCATAATTTATCATTAATTTATTATACAGGTTCTGTTGACCTTTGAGCTATTTTGACCTGTTTTTCTATACTATAAATTTATAAACTATAACAAACATCTTCATCTTTTTGTCTTTATTTTAGAGTCCTAGAAGAAGAGTTAGTAAATCTATTTTTAACTTTTTACTGTGAAGTACCAGTTTGCTGTCCAGAAAAGTTGCACTAATTTCTCTCTATACTGACAGTGTATGCCCTGTTAGATACTGTTTACACATACCTTCAATTAAGGTAAATAACTCAGGAGGTTGCTGTCAATTTTGTGTTTATTTGCTTTCCATAGTCCTTCTGAATTTGCTCGTTCTCTTTTTGGATATATGATTAAGTTTCTTAAAGCCCCTGCTTTAAGGAAAAAGTAAATCAAAAGCAGGTTTTCGTCATTGGAGCAATTTGCCCTGAAATTTTTGAAAATAGAATTTTTTCCCCTCAGATGGTAGCAGTAAGCAAAACAGATACTGATATTTAGAGTCTTTGGGCCTCCCTAGTGGCAGAAGGGATTAAAAACGCTATCGGGCCTCCCTTGGTGGCGCAGCTGTTGAGCACTGGACTGCAAAGCTGCCTGCAGCCTCTGCAGCGCCGGTTCGATCCCCGGCCGCTGGCAAGGGTCCCACATGGCGCTCAGACCTCTCCTGCCATGCCCACTGCTCTCCTCAGCAGTGTACTTCAGTCCTTCTGCCTGTTCTGCTCCCTGCTCTGGTTCTGGTGAATTCTCTCACCCTCCCACTCTTCTGACTGTACCCAGCGCTTGTATAAATAAATAAATCTTTAAAAAAAAAAAAAAAGCTATCAAGGGCCTCTCTGGTGGCGCAAAGGGTTAAGACACAGCATATGAAGCTGTCTGCAGGCAGCCACTGCAGCACGAGTTCAATCCCTGGGCCACCCACATGGTGCAGCAGACCTCTCCTGACTTGCCCGTTGCTCCCAGCAGTGTATTTTAGTAGATCTGCCTGTTCTGCTCCCCACTCTGTCTCTGATGAATCCTCTCACACACACACCCCACACCGCTGGCCTGTACCCCAGTTCTTGTATGCATAAATAAATCTTTAAAAAAAAAAAAACAAAAAAACAGCGCTATCAAGCCATTGCCACTTCTGTACGAATTCAATCCCCCGGCCAGGCAGCAACCCACATGGTGCAGCAGACCTCTCCTGTCTTGCCTGCTTCTCCCCTCAGCAGCATATTTCAATAGATCTGACGGTTCTGCTCTCCACTCTCTCTGGTGAATCCTCTCACACACACATTCCCCCCTCCACACACACACCTCTGGCTTACAACCCAGTTCTTGTATGCATAAATAAATAAATCTTTTTTTTTTTTTTAATTTAGAGTCCTTGTTTGTTAGCATAGAGAGTTTCTTTCATGGCCTTCACTGTGGCTTTTGAGCCAGCAGCTCTTGTTAGGATGACCATACTGTAGAATAAATAGCTCTTCTAACTAACTTACCAGCGGGTACTAGTTAAGTCGGATAAAGACAAGCAGCTGACTTGGTTTGGTTTTGTGAAACCCGGAGGGGTAATCTATTCTGAAGCTGGGCCTTGGGCAAGTGGAGGTTGGAGAAAAGTAGAGGAAGGTGAAACATTCTTGCGAGCCAGAAGGATTGGATTGGTCAGGGAAAGGAAGTTCTAAACAGGTGGCCTCCAACCTTCTTGAGGACTGTGATTGGCTTTGGAGGTGGTTGGAGGCCATCCTTCCAGGCTTTGTGCCCACAGATGTGTGGGCCTTTCAGATCAGAAAGAGTGACATTGCTCTCTTGGGTTTTCTAGGCTACCTCGGACCGGAGCAGCTACCAGACTGCCTAAAAGGTTGTGAGGTGGTTGTTATTCCAGCTGGAGTCCCGAGAAAACCAGGTGGGTCTTTGAAAGCCTTTATCTAGCATCTCACTGTATGCCAACGTTAAAGCATGGATCTAGCCAGTGTCTCTGCTGCAGAAAAGATTCTAAATGTTCCCCAATGCCTGTGGGATAAAAATCAAACCTTTCTTGACATGGCATTTAAAACCCCTCATGTGTCTACAGTGTTTCTCCCCTACCCAGCCTCTACACACTTTGAGCATGGACTGTCCTTCCCTCAGACCATCCCCACCTCAGGAATTCTGACTGATCCTTGATGGTCCTCAGATACCACCTGCCTGGCTCCCCTCCCCATGTACCCCACAAATCTCTATTCTGGCACTTGTCACTGGATTGGTTTCCTTACAAGATGGAATTACTTGAAACAAGGACCCTGTCTCCCTCATGTTTGAATTTCCTGTAATACCTAACACACGGCACTTAGCACATGGTGAGAAATTGGTCCTGTGCTTTGAGAACATCTTGAATTGGATCATTTGCAGGCATGACACGTGATGACCTGTTCAACACCAATGCAACAATTGTGGCCACCCTGGCTGCAGCCTGCGCCCAGCATTGCCCTGAGGCCATGATCTGTGTCATTGCAAATCCGGTGAGTACACTCCTGAAGCTCACAGTTAGCACAGGTATTCTGATGTGCTTGTGGGGAGAAAGATCTTCAGTTTATTTCCTGGGAGTTCCTTCTGATGTGGACAAAGTGTGAGTTTTAATCTTTTTTCCAACAACTAGGTGTCTTTGGACAACTCGCTTCCCCTCTCTATAGCTTAGTCTCCCTGCCTGGAAAGTCAGTCCATTCTTAAGGCTCTTTTAAACCATGACCGTAGCCTTTTACCATGTGTTTTCTCAGATGCTACCGTTCCTGGTTCCCATTGACTCCTTTTCTTCACACTTTCGCACATACTCTCATACACAGACACCCACTCTGCTCACTGGTTTTTGTTGGTAGCTTATTCTTCAATTCAGAAATTCTGAGTGCTGTATCCTCCCTAAGAAAACAAGTAGGCTTCTCTCACTTGTCCTACAGCATCTTGGGCTGCGTTTAACAGCAGCCTTCTCCATTCTTCCTCCTGGCTGAAGCTAGATTGTGATCTTGTGTGTAAGGAGGCTGTGGGTGAGAGTGCAGTGGCAGTGATGTTGATTGTGAAGCATCGTCACTGGTCAAGGCCCAGTTCATGCTCATTGCTGTGAGAAAAGAGGATCCTACCTTCCCTGAGTAGCTCGCCCTTCCTTGGGGGCAGTTGGTCAGAAGTAGAAAGTAGAGGAATTGAGGTGTAGGCCAGAGGTGCAGGGGGTGAGAGGATTCATCAGAGACAGGAATAGGGAACAGAACAGGTGTATCTACTGAAATTCAGGAACAGCGGGCAAGACTGGAGAGGTCTGCTGTGCCATGTAGGTTAGCTCCCTGGCCAGGGATCGAACTCATGCCACAGAGGTGACAGCGCTGAAATGTAACCCCTAGGCCACCAGGGAGGCCCTCTAAATCTTGCTGTTTTGGTTTTTTTTGTTGTTTCATAGTCTCTGTACCAAGTAGCATGCTAAGCACTTGCTGTATATCAAGTCATTTAATCTTTACAGCAGCCTCTGAGGTAGTTGTCTCCCCTATTTTACAAATAAAGAAACCAAGTTCAAGGGAGTCGAGGTAACTGGGCTAGGATTACAGTGCAAAGTGGCAGAGCTGGGACTCACCCTGGGTCATCGAGCTTTTAGCCATGTGTTTTCTGTCGCTAGGTATGGCTATGTAGTCGTGAGCCCCAGCCGGAGCAGAGGGTGCCCTGAGGGACCATCATATTTCACAGTCGATAATTGAAGTGTCACATGCACACTTGAACTCAGAGGCACCAGGGGAAGAGTATCTGCCGCAGTGAAGGGTCTTTCTTTAGAGCAGGGAGTTCATCTGGTCTGGTCTGTCTCGTCGTGAGGGTGGTTGGCCTAGAAGCAGTTGTCAGGTGGGGGTTTTAATTTGGCGCATGGGACTTGGTAGTAGTTTGGTAAAAAGATTTTCTTTCAGTTGCATGGCTATGTTTTCAGGATACGGGGCCAGTTATGTTTCTCTTGGATTTACTAGGTCAATTCCACCATCCCAATCACAGCAGAAGTTTTCAAGAAACATGGAGTATACAACCCCAATAAAATCTTTGGTGTGACAACCCTGGACATTGTGAGAGCCAACACTTTTGTGGCGGAGCTGAAGGTAAGAGCTCAACTCCTTGTGTCCACAGCAGATAACAGAGTAGCTACTTCCCACGGCATATGTCCAGACTCATGCTGTTTGCTGGGGCCATGGTGGGGAAGCCAAAGATGGCAGGAATTGACGATCTTTCTAATTTCTTGGTTTTGTTCCAAGTTCTGTGGGTTTTTCCAGTATTGGTGCTTTTGGTGGTATGACAAGTTTTATACTCAAAGAGCTTGATAAAAATTAATCAGGCTTCACTGAAACTTTGGCAACAGGGTCTGGATCCAGCTCGGGTCAATGTTCCTGTCATCGGTGGCCACGCTGGGAAGACCATCATCCCCCTAATCTCTCAGGTAAGTGGGTTAAGCCCTTGCCAGGAAGCCTGAAAATCACGAGTGCTTTGAGAATCCATTTGATGTAGTTAGACTGACAGATCTGACCATCTGTCATGCTTTAAAAAGATTTTTGCTGTGGATGCAGCCCCCACCCCAGTCATCTGGGGCTCTTGACAGGCTGTGGAGTGTAGTCAGGTGTCAGCATTTCAGGGGACACAGCAGTGGGAATGAGTGTGGTCCCAGGGTGCTCAAAACCCTCAGCTGGTAGGAACATCACTGGGCTCCTGGCTAAAACAGCTTAGGCAGTACTGCTTTGCTTAAAAGTGAGTAGAACTGAATGCCATAGAGAATAAGATCTACCTTGTAACCCCTGAGTATAATGCTCTGGGACACAAGATATTGGGGGTATTCTTGCAAAAAATGCATTAACCTGGCCAAAAAATTGTGAAAATGTCACAGACCCAAATTGGTGAACATTCAACAAGATGAGCAATCAGTACTTCTGACAGGTGTCTCAAAAGACAAAGGAAGACTGCGGGGCTTAGAGACTAAGGCGGAATAACTGATGGCAAGGTGGGGTCCTGGATAGGCCTCTGGGACAGAACAGGAACAGGGTGGGGGAATTGTGAAGTTTGAAGAAGGGCTGTAGTTAAATAACTTGATACTAATTTCCTGTTTTTCATTATTGCACCGTGGTTATGTAAGTTGTGAACATTCGGGTAAGGCAGGTGAGGGAACTCTTCGTACTATTTTTATAGCTTTCTTCTAAGTCCAGAATTAGTTCAAAACATAAAAGACTTATCTGAAAATGAGTAGGGAACTCACTATGAAGTTGACTTGTGAACTTCCAGTGAAGCTGACTTGTTCTTCAGGACCTTGGTTTCCTGTATAAGTGAGGATGCCAAGGGATCCTTCTTGAGCAGGGTACAGAAAGTGGGGGGCCTGCGAGTGGCAACAGGGGGCCAGACCTGCTCAGACGATCCCTGTGGTTTTGTTCGCAGTGCACTCCCAAGGTGGACTTCCCCCAGGATCAGCTGACCACCCTCACAGGGCGAATCCAGGAGGCTGGCACAGAAGTGGTCAAGGCTAAAGCTGGAGCTGGTAGGTTCTTGGAGGCAGCCCTGGGGGTGCTGATGCCCGAGGCCTTTTTGGAGTTCAGCGTTCAAGACTGGCGAGGAGTGACTCCTCCTCCCAGGTTCACATACATGCTCTTGATAAGCAGGCTCTCTAACAGAAAGGCAGATCTGCTGGCTTGGTGGAGTGGGGTGGTGCACAAGGTTGGCCAAGCTGATTCCATGCCATTCATGCATTTGTGGAGTTAAGAGACACACATAAATTCCCGTCTTAACATAAGAGATTTTGCAGATATGTTATTTAGCTGGTGGGCTAAACTCATCTGGAGTTTACAGTTGCAGTACCAGCAGGACTAACCTGCCTGTGTCCTCATAGGCTCTGCCACCCTGTCCATGGCGTATGCCGGGGCCCGGTTTGTCTTCTCCCTTGTGGATGCAATGAACGGAAAACAAGGCGTTGTCGAATGTTCCTTTGTTAAATCCCAAGAAACAGATTGTACCTATTTCTCCACACCGTTGCTGCTGGGGGTATGTATCTGGGAGTTGGTGGGCCTTTTGATTCTGGAAGAAAATCTGTAGTTCAGTCTTAAGCTCTGCCCTGTTCCTTTGCTCATAATTCAGATGTCCTTTGTGCAATAACTACAAATCACTTCCTTGGGGTGTGCTTCAGTTTTTGAGGGCAAACATGCCTCACAGAATTAAGACCAGGGAGAATCTCAAACTTCCTAGTATGTGAACTTCCTTCCCCATGGATCTGACAGTCATCAGTGGCTGCCTGGATGTGTTTTCCCAAAGAGACTCATTCCATCTCGGGTAGCCCACAGACAGTGCCGAAAGAAAACCTTCCCACAATCCGGACATCCTGCGTGCTGTCTCCCGGAGCTTATTTGGAAGGCAGGGCCATCTTTCCTCTCCCTGGGATGTTGTGTGGTTGTCGTGCTTTCCAGTTCAGGCACCTTTCTTCACTCCTCAGCCCTCTGGTGAGGAATTTGCCCAGGTTGTCCTCTTGAAACTGGTGTCTAAGTCAGAGCCCATCTGGGCACTTCAACCAGCCTACTTTGGACGCCTGTCCATTGGGTTGGCCTTTTTACTAAGTCTTCAGCGAGCAGAAGCCATACATATTTCTCAGCACCAACTGTCAGACCAGGTTTCCACTTCCTGGAGTGTGGGTAGCTGCTGAAGTCAAGCACACTTAGAGAAGTTGCCTTCCTCTACTATCCAAAAAGAAATACTTGGGTAACTTGCTTGCCTACCCAGAGGCCCATCCCATAGACACAAATGATCAAAGAGCCATAGGCCATGGCCCCAGGCCTCAGGAGCTCCACATGGTGACTGACTCAAAAACCAGGTCAGTGCAGGCGTGTGCAGAGTGCAGTGGGGCCTGTGGGTGAGGAACACATGAGGCTGATTGTCTAGTCGTGAAGGGTGTCCATGTCCAGGGAGATAGCCTGGGTGGCGGCACAGATGGCACTCCGTGTGAGACGGAGTGAGACATTGACCCACACCTGCTCTTTTCCTTACATCAGACACTTTACTGTTCATTTTACATTGGACAGTAAAATGCTTCTTCAGTCCTTTACTGACTTGCGAAAGAGATTAGAGCCCAAAAGTATGCTCTACGTCAGGGGGAATAAGTGTTGCTGATTATTGGGTGCTTGATGTGCAAAGTTGCTCACATGTGTTCCACAGCCTCCAATAAGTAGGTAGTATGTTCATTTTATAGATAAGGAAACCGACTTTGATGGGTCAGCCATTGTCCACTGCACCCACACTGAGTGACAGAACCCGGATCCCAACCTCGGAGCATCCGAATGAAACACACTACCGGCCCCGCTCAATGCTGGACACCCCAATGTGCAGCTCCCTCAGTGGGAGCTCATAGCAACCCCTCAGGCGTAGAGTGTCTTGTCAGAGCTGATGAATTTTAGGTTGAGTTTTCTGTAACAATCATCCATGGGAACTTCTTATATGTAAAATTTTATAAACACCTCCCTCTCTCCTTCAGAAAAAGGGTCTGGAGAAGAACCTCGGTATTGGCAAGGTCTCCCCCTTTGAAGAGAAGATGATAGCGGAGGCCATCCCTGAGCTGAAGGCCTCCATCAAGAAGGGAGAAGACTTTGTGAAGAACATGAAATGAGAAAGCAGTCCATGAGCAGTCCATGTCCCTAACTTATTTAGGTATCACATCACTGTAAAGCCATTTCAGATCCCTTTGTTTATTTGCTTTGATGACAAGTATTGTATCATCACCATGCCTTCCAAATCATGGCTCAGTCTATTGGTGCAACAATAAAAGCAGTCTTTTGATTTTCATTTTCAAGGTCTCTTCCATAAATACTGTGCTTGCTTCTCTGTTAGACTTCTTATTTCACAGAGCGTATCTGGCCTCTCATCTCTACAAATCAGAATTAATGTTAATTTATATATTAGGCTTTGATGGTTTCATTAAGGGGAAGGTGTAAAATAACAGTAACTGCTCCTCCCATTATGCATCGTTTCATCCCCCGGGTGTGTGAACTCTAAGAAGGGTGAACTCTGACCTGGTTTCTTGTAGTGCCCTTTCACCGCCGGGGTGGTAGCTCAGTGGCTAACTCCAGGCTGCTGTTTGCTGTCCCTAGCTCTGTCTTGTGTATCTTGCTGACGAAACAGCACCAGCTTCTCCATTAGAGCGGCCCTGGCTGACCTCTGTTTTACTCTGAATTTTATCATCTTCTGACTGAGTCCTGATACTCAGTGACGGTGACAACCCACAGCCAGAGTTGTGGTGTAAGCTGGGGCAGGGGCAGCAATAACCAAAACGCTAGCTGGCTGAGGACACAGGAGAGGTGGCTTCATGTTTTTAGTGGCTCGTCTTAGGATAAATGAGAATAAAAGAGGGACCTGGTTCCCTTCAGTGTTGACTGCACTGTTCCCCATGAGCCATGGTCCCTAGGGTTCCTTCCATATTTGAGAAGGAACTGTCAATAGGTGATCACCTTGAAAGTGGAAAAGGCTGCAATTGCATGCAGTGATGACACTTGTCTACAGCAGCTTTATTTAACTAAAACATTTTCTCAAATATACCACTGTTTTCATATAGTACTACATGTTCATTGTTCAAAACTCAAAAACAAAGCAGGAAATTAGCGGTAATGGTATTTGACCTCTTAATTGTGTGTATTTCTCAGGTCAAGATAATGTCCCATCTACCCTTTTGTAATCGCCTCTTGTGTCACTGTCCAGCGCCACTTCCCTCCCCATGCAGTTGCTCGTAAGCCATTTTGTTACCACATCTCCAACATGTTGCTTTTCGACAAGGCTCCTGGCTGGCCCGGGATGCTCAGGATAATGTCTCACACACATGGTGTTTGGAGGATGCTGCTGGGTTAGCTGGGCTCCCCTCGGCGTCTTGGGCCTCTCATTCTTCATGGGGCCTTTCCAGCAGGGTGGTCAGGTTTCTTACCTGATGGCTTAATATTGCTAAAAATGTGAAAGTAGAAGCTGCCAGACATTGCGGCTTAGGGCTCATTACCCGTAGGGTGTCATTTTTCCCACAGCCTCAGGGTTACAGATACAAGGCAAACCCAATGGGAGGGGATAGACCATTCCTGGAGGCCTGGCTCTTGGGGGCCAACTCGAGATTAGCTGCCACATGTGATTATTTCATTGGAAGCATGTGTTTTCCCACGTCATTTTGGAACAACTGGACACTCCTTTGAACATACTATAGTTTCCTCCATTGCTGGGTAATTAGGTTTAGGTTTCCCCTTCTCTGAAGAGCATAGCTCTGAACATGAGTGTGCTTTTGCACTAAATTCCTCTTGGTGGTTCTATGTGCAAAGTGTTACTCCAGCTTGATCTGGGGTCATTTGCTAGTGCACAGCATGTTCACAGCAGCCCTGACAGCAGGACCTAGTATAGGGGCTCAAAGCAAGCTGTGTCTTCTTGATCCAGGGTGGCCAGTGACCATCTCTATCAAAAAACTGCCTTAAGTGCAGGTTCCTGACCCCACGCTTCAGAAGTTCTGCTCTGAGAACAGCCCAGAACCTAAAATTTTCCAGATTCTGAGCGGCATGGGTACGGTCCACCCCATTTAGGACACTGGCTACCCCAGACACGTCCCAGTGTAAGGGCCATCTGCCTCTCCGCGCTTGCCAGACAAGTCAGGGAGGAAAATTCAGATAGGAAAATTCAGCAGGACTCCAGAAGAGGACAAAGTTACTCCTGGATTTCTCGGGAGGCCAGAATCAGAATTGCCTTTTGAAACATCAGAGAGTAAGAGGAGCCGGCATTTGAGCTGTCCCCACAGGCTGGGCAGGACTAGGCTAAAGAGGACAGGCTTTGTTTGAGGAACACTAGACTTCTAACAAAAGGACACAGCATAAGGGGAGTGAGGTGGCTCTGCAGATTGAAGAGCTTGGGTCTCATCCTGTGGGCGGTGGCAGCAGGGTAGACGCCACAGGTGCAGAGCGGGTAAAATGGTCCTAGGATGGGCCCTAACATACAGATTGTGACTTGGAAACTGGCTGGAACCCAGATGATGTCCTCACTGCAGGGTACATTTAAGCAGAAAAGATGGGATGGCAGTGAATGGGGAGGGAGGGATACACGGATAGAGGAAAAAGCCATGAGCAGCTCCCACCCCATTTCCACCACCCCAGAAGTCCATTAGCCTGTTATCAGTGTGTGTTAAACCAACTGTGGCTCTGCTTTCAAGTTTCATTCACCTCCAGTCTGCAAACTGGCTGCCACCACTGCCTTCTGGCCACATGACACATAACTCTAATCCCCCTCAGCATGGAACAAAATGCCAGGGGCTGAATGTATGGTGTTAATGACCATAATGAGCTAGCTGAGGTCTTTGCCAGGGGAAGCCAGATTCCAGTCTTTCAAGAGCAGAGGAGAGGCTGGCAAGGCAGCGGCAGGGCACCCACAACCAGGGTAATTAGATGGCAAAAAAGTTGGTCCTGCAAAGAAGCTGCCATTGAAGTCCCGGATGGATGTGGCCAAGTTGGGTAATTAGGAGGAAAGCACAGTAATGGGCCTTCACTGTTGAAGAAGAGTGAACAGCTTAACCTAGAATAACCCTGACCTCGCCCAAGCTGCACCTGGCTGAGGCCAAACCTTCCCTGCAGTTCTCCAAAAGGCCTGAAGAGGGAGCTCGAGGCTGATGCTGCAAAGCTGCTCCTTGGAACCTTGTGGGATAGGCAGTGGAGTGAAAATTAGCATTCCTGAGCCACCTCCACCCTGTCTGGTCTCTGAAGGGGGCAGCTGCCTTCTGACAGGGATCATGGAAGTGGGAGTGAGGCCAAAGAGCATTGTTGGAACCAGTTCACAGGTTTGGAAGCAGGGAGGGGAGATGAACAATATCAAAGTACGAGGCAAGTGGAGTAGGGAGGTTTCTAGGAAGAAAACACCTCCCTCCCATTAATTTTGCTGGGGAGACTCAAGACCACACCCTACAAGGAGAGTTGACAAAGCAGCACGGGCTATCTGCCCATTTCCTATAACCAAGTAACCTTGGGCTCCTTGTCTCCAGTGCCCAGTGTGGACAGCAAGGACAGGTCACTTCATCTAACCCCAGTGAGTGGGGATTTTGTAAACCAAACCCAGAGTGGACAGAAGCTGCTGGGTGACCAGGAGGAAATGCCCAAGGCCACAGCCATGGCAGGCATCTACAGCATCTCCTTTAGTCCCCTCAAGCACCTGGGGTCTCCTGGTGCAGGTCCCCTGAGTTCCCCAGAGGAGTGCTTTCCAGACTCTCCGGTCCCCAGGCCTTAGACCGACTGCCTCAATCAACCCACTTGAAGAGGCTTCCTCCCCCTGCCTGCATCGTGTGGGCTCACTTCTTGGGGTAAAATCCCAAAAGCAGCCAGAACTGACTTACCAGAAATGTGTTCTTTTTTCTCGTCATTTCCTTCTAGATGCTTAATTAAATTCCCTCATAAAATTGAATAGGGTCACCCAGAACCAGAAGCTGAAGGGTGGACCTGGGGGGTTTGCTTGTGCTCTACAGCTGGTCTGGTTGTGAAATAAATACCAGAAGCTACTAATCAGCAGCTGCTCCAGCCTGCTGGCCCTTCCCCTGGGGTGTGCGTGTATACACACACACACATACCCCAACACCCCCCCCCCAGTGGTACAGGAGTAACACCTGGCAGCAGGGTGCCTCCCAAACTAATTAGGTATTTTAATACCTCTGTGGAGCAGCCCCTTCTGCAGAGAAAGCAAAGTGTGGGCCTGGAGAACATGCTCCCACCCCAGCACAGTGCCCTGTTCGTGCTCCCACCTGTGCTTCCGCCAAAGGAGCACCTAGATGCCAGGCTGGGTTCCCCACCTCCCTCCCCAAGGCCAAAGCTAATCAGTGAAGTCCTGACTAGACTCCAAAGGCCTATTAAATGAAAACAAATGGTTATATGATTCTATGTAAGCTAAAACAATAAAATTTTCCAAAAGATAATACATGAATGTACACGCATAGAAAAAGGTCTTGAAGGACAACACACCAGTTAGCATGGTGTAGCTTCTAGAATGGGATTGCCTTTGGGTACGTGCTGTATGTAGGATGCTCCCAGCTTTTCATTATATATAGTTTCTGTTGTAGGTTCAGTTGTGTCCCTAAAAATTCATGTGTTAAAATTCCGAACCCCAGCGACTCAGAATATGACCCCATTTTGGAAATGGGATGGTTGCAGATGTAATTAGTTAGGGTGAGTTCACACTGGCATAGGGTGGCCTAATCCACTAGGACTGGTGTCCTTATAGAGACGGGGAGTTTGAACAAACATACACACATAAAGAGAATATGTTTTAAAATGAAGGCAGAGATTGAGATGATGCTTTATAAGCCAAGGAACCCCAGATTTCCAGCAAACCACCAGAAGCCAGGGGAGAAGCTTGGACAGGTCCTCCCTCTCAGCCTTCAGACAGAACCAACCCTTCAATGCCTTCATCTGGGATTTCTGGTCTTCAGAACTGTGAGAAAATACATTTCTGTTGTTTAAGCCACTCTGTGGTAGTTTGTTACCCCGATCCCAATAAACATCTGTGCTCTGGTTAAATATTGCACAGTGAGAAATCCCATTTAATAGAGGCAGATGAATAGTGCACAATGAATATTGCTGGTGAAATTAAAAATCAAGGATGTATCATCGGAAGCATGTTATTGAGCTAACCCACATGCCGTCACTGCTCCTTGTGTCTGCGTGGTCTTGTCTAATGCAGCAACCAATGACCCTTTACAGATATGGTAACTTGCCCAAGTTCACACAGCTTGAGCCACTGCAAAGGATGGGATCACTGGTCACTGCGCCCCAAACCCAGCACTCTTTGCCCTTCTCAG